TATATAGATGGTTTATGTTGTTATTGTTGGTTTATATTTGATATAGATAGTTTATATAGATGGTTTGTATAGATGGTTTATATTTATTATTGTTATTTGATATTGGTTTATATAGATGGTTTATGTTGTTATTGTTGGTTTATATTTGATATAGATAGTTTATATAGATGGTTTGTATAGATGGTTTATATTTGATATTTGATATTGTTGGTTTATATAGATGGTTTATGTTGTTATTGTTGGTTTATATTTGATATAGATAGTTTATATAGATGGTTTGTATAGATGGTTTATATTTGATATTTGATATTGTTGGTTTATATAGATGGTTTATGTTGTTATTGTTGGTTTATATTTGATATAGATAGTTTATATAGATGGTTTGTATAGATGGTTTATATTTGTTATTGTTATTTGATGGTTTATATAGATGGTTTATGTTGTTATTGTTGGTTTATATTTGATATAGATAGTTTATATAGATGGTTTGTATAGATGGTTTATATTTGATATAGATGTTGTTATTGTTGTTGATATTTGTTGTTGTTGTTATTCTGAATTACAGGTATATTATGGCCAGCAACGAGGAAACATCACATGATGGAAAAGAAACACCTAAAGACGTTGAAGGCGAAATTAAAAGAGGCATAACGATAATGAAAAGTATCATCTGTGCGAGAGATAGAGGTGTAAAGTACGATGTCCATTGGAATGAAAGAGATCAGTTGGTTGAGCCTAATGGTGCGCTGCTGACAAGTTATATTGGAGCAGTTGTACGTTCGCAAGTTCCGATTACTTGCGATAACTAGAGAATTCCTGCATTAAAAGCGGCTAAGGATAAAATTTGGACCGAGATTCAAGTATGAGATTTGATCATTTTTAATTATGTTGACAGTTACATCTTTAAATTAATTATATTAACATGTTATATGTATGTGTATTTGTTTGCAGAGATCTTTTAATATTGAGGATTCTAGGAGAAAATATTGTATTCAGTTGGCCGGAAAACGCTTGAGGGGATTTAGAGCGTTTTTAACCAAAAAATATCTTAAAGATTCTGATGGCAACTTTGTAGAGTCGGAGCGTCCAGCGAAGTACGCTGATTTGATTTCGGATGCAGAATGGGAGACATTTGTTGCGAAGCGAAGAAACAAAGAATTTGAAGTAAGTACAACTTATCATGTACAATGTATAGTATATATACCTATTCCACAAACAAACTGATATGACTTAAACTTGTTTTTTCAGGTTAAGAGTGGCGTAAATCGGGAACGGACATCAAACCCTGCGTATCCATATAGAAAGGGGCGTTTGGGATATGCACGCTTAGAACAAAAATTAGTAAGTGCATATATATGCTTTAATATGATCTATTTACAAAAAATAGTAAGTATACATAATAGGATATAATGCTTTATTGTTCGTCTTAATGCGTAGTTGGAAGAGGAGAAAAGTGATGCGACATCTCTTCCGGACCATGTCGTATGGAAGGCTGCCCGGGTGGGAAGAGATGGAGCCGTCCAAGAAGAAGTTCAACAAGTGTTTGAACAATGTGTAAGTACAACATTAGTTTTTGAACAAAGTGTTTGAACAAAGTGTATAAAATATTTAAATATGCTTTTATCTATATTTCAGGAGTCCCTATCCCAGACTATAACTCCTGCTGAAGACGATGATTGCAGGAGTTTATTGAGTCGGGTGTTGAATATTCCCGAGTACTCTGGGCGTGTGAGGGGCAAGGGATTTGGTGTCACTCCATCCAAACTGTATAAGCAGCCAAGGAAAAAAAATCCAACCAATAAAGAAGTGATGGCTACTTTGGAGGAAATGAAAGCTCAAATTCGTGAATTACAGAAGGATAAGGAGAGATACATGTCCGAAAGACGCGCTCTAAAGGTCGGTAAAGCTACTAGTGACAAAGATAGTATCGGTTGTCCGCAGAAGCTTCCAAAGGTAATTGTATATATTAAATTGAAATTAATTTAGCACATTTTTCTTAATTGACACATTAACTGATCATTATTTGTTTAGGGCATTTCACCTTGTCGACTATATTTATCGTCGCCGACTTATCGCATGGTTGGCAAGGGAAAGGTGCATAACACCCTGGGAGACTTACTTCACCATAAACCCCTCCCTGCTGGATTTTTGAAAGTATCTGTTGATATTGCATTAGAGGGGGGGGGGGCGTTGTTGCCTATGCGAGACGATGTATCAGACGCAACAGTGGTGGGAGACGCGATAGGAGCTTATGTAGCATGGCCGGCGAATCTCATTTTCATGGATGATGAGGTAGGTTGAACCTTGTAATATTCCAATGTTTTATTACCCATACATGAAAGTTATTCTGACATTTACACTTTCTTATTGACATGATGATCTTAGACTCCCACAAAATCCAAAACAAAAGATGATAAAATTATTGTGCGGGATACCGATTCAGCTGCATCAAAGTTACAGGTACTAGTACTACAGTTTAAGTGATTATTTTATTATAAATTATTTACTCAACTTATATATGACTTTTAGGTTCTTGATCAGCAGTCGCAACATGTCAGCAAGGGAAACATGCCTGAAACTTCCAAGGTGCCCAAAAAAAAGGTCGAGACAAAAAGAGCATTTGTTCCTCAATTTAGGTCGTGCCTTCAAACATATGTAGGGACAACAGACGTGCCTGAGGGCGGCATCCGTCTAATACATATGGAACAAGGTATTTTCGGTTTTGAATATTCCGAAACACTAGCTAAGGAGGATTTCGACCAGGTTTTCAAACATTTAGAATTGGGCGTCGGGGTTATGCATACCTACATCAGGTACTTCGATCCATTTTAATTAGATAATTGAACATTTTAAAATTCGCTCGTTTAACTGAATAATCTAATGTTGATTATATTTTTTTTAGGCGCTTGTATGACAAGATGTTGGTCCCCGCTGATTTGACTTCAGTATTCGCATTCTTATCTGCTAGCAGTGTCAACTCACGGACAATAGACCAGACACCAGAAGCAGTCAAAGAGTACACAGTCCAGAGATTTATGGGTGCGAATACTGAGAAGTTGTTTATGTTGCCATATAATACTGGCCATGGGTTAGTTTTTATTCTAAATTCATTTATTATAATTGTTCGATTTTTGCCATATTATATAACATTTCCGTCTAAACTGTTGTCTTATTTTATAGTGGTCACTGGTTGTTGGTCGCAATTAATCCGATTAAAGAAATAATGTATTATATAGATTCATTGGATGGCGATACAAACAAATATGAAAATCTGAAGAACATGGTTGATACGTAAGTGATGATGTATAGTGTTCTGAATAGTTATATATGTTTATTTATTATGTGACATTGTTCTAAATATGTGTTTATATTATGTTGGAGTTATACAAATATACAGAGCACAGAGAGATGCAACAGTGCCAAAAAGCAGGGCTAGCAACATCAACTGGATCAGAGTGGAGGTATATTTTCCCATGTTTGACTGTTATAGTGGTTCTACTTATAAAACTATTTAAACTATATATCCTGATAAATGTTCGTTCGCTTTTTTCCTAATACAGTGTCCTCGTCAGCGTGGTGGGATTGACTGCGGATATTTTGTACTGCGCTTTATGAAGGAAATCATTCTTTCTGGTCAATTAGAGATTCCAATCATGGTATGAATCAATTCATGAGTTATATGATTCATTTTGATAATTAACTAATATTTCATCTGAGTAATTAGTATTAAATCGTGCTTGTTCTGTTATATTATGTAGTATTTTGATGAATTCAGATGCGCTACGTACTCGAAAGTAAAACTGGAAGAAATTAAGGAAGAATGGTGTCAATTTATGATTGAGTTAAGAATTCTATAATGTATATTGGATTTGTAATTATGTGTAAATTGTATATTGTATATTGTATATTGTATAATGTACAATGTTTAAATTATGTGTAAATTGTATATTGTATATTGTATATTGTATAATGTACAATGTTTAAATTATGTGTAAATTATACTTGAGTTAATTATGTGTAAATTGCAAAGTGTTATTGTATAATGTACAATGTTTAGTTATATTGTGTTGAATTAAAGGCCAAGTGTTGAATTACAATGTTTAAAGGCCAAGTTATGTTTAAAGCCTGAATTATAAGCAGGGAATTTAATTGTTATAAGCAGGTTTGTCTAAAAATATAAAAAAATGTGATTTTTCAAAAAAAATTTTTTTTAAAAACGTGAGGTATAGACAGCGCTTTTACAAGAAAGCGCTGCTAAAGGGAGAAAAATAGGCATAAAAAAGCGCTGCTATAGGTTAGGAAAGGAGGAGTCTAAGAAAGCGCTTTAAAAAAGCGCTGTTAAAGGGTGGTCTACAAAAGCACTTTCATAAAGCGCTGCTACAGGGGGGAGGGGGGAGAATAGGCAGCGCTTTGAAAGCGCTGCTAAAGGGGTAAAAAAGCGCTGCTAAAAGTGATACCTTTAGCAGCGCTTTTTCCATAAAAAAAAGCGCTGCCTTTACCTTTAGCAGCGCCACTTTAGGCAGCGCTTTAAAGCGCTGCTAAAGGTCAAAAAAAGCGCTGCTAAAGGCCATTTTTGACATAGTGTATGAAATCTCTCACCGATCTTGAGAGTTCTAGCGACCCCTCTAGAGTCTTTACACTTATACCGATTTCAAAGAAGGCGCATATAAACTTTCACCAAATTTTTTCTGAGTATTCAATTTAAAAAAAAAAAGAAAGAAAGAAAGTAAAAGTACCGTTTACTCTATTTTAGACCATATATAAATATTACGAATATGTATAGATTATTTGGAATGAAGCTCCGTGAGATAGCAAGTATTGACTAGAAGTATTATGATTTGAAAAGTGTCACTTTCCATTAGCTACCATGCCAACTACCTAATAAAAGCTCCGTGTTGATTTCTACTTCCTTCCATATATATATAGACCACACCTTCTTACTATTTTTCTCATCCTTCACTACCAAATATCACATTTCAATTGATCTTGAATTGAGTACAATGGATTCCAAAACATCATTCCTCATCCTTGGCCTAATGGCCCTGGTTCTTGTTATTTCCTCAGAGGTGTCAGCTAGGGACTTAACTGAGACTTCCACTAATACCAAAGAGGGTGAGTTAGCTACACATTATTTTTCTTAATTTTGGCTTTAAATATGTATTTTTTTCATGAGCATTTTAAGGAATTTTGTATCCATAACTTTTCTATTATTTGTATATATCTTTTACTAATTAAAATTTTGTTTTAATTAATTTTAAATAAATTGATTTTAAAAAATTCACTTGATTACACAGTGCTTTATTTTTATAAAGTAAAGTGCGGTATGTATGAGTTCATAAAGTAAAATTAATTCAAGATACGTATATTTCATAATGTTGTATTTGCAGAAATTGTTACAAAGTCAAATGAAGTAAATGATGCCAAATATGGGGGTTATAGAGGCTACGGTCATGGTGGTGGTTACAATAATGGTGGCGGTTACCATAATGGTGGAGGTGGTTACAACAATGGTGGTGGTTACCATAACGGTGGAGGTGGTTACAACAACGGTGGCGGTTACCATAATGGTGGAGGTGGTTACAACAACGGTGGAGGTTACCATAATGGTGGTGGTGGTTACCATAATGGTGGTGGCGGTTACAATGGTGGTGGCGGTTACCATAATGGTGGAGGTGGACATGGTGGTGGTTACAACAATGGTAACTGATTATATCAATATTCTTAGTAATAAAATTTTATGAATAAATAATGTTTATGTGTTTAACAAAAGAGGTATAGTGAGACTCTTTAGTGAAGTTATTTCCCAACTCTATAAATCACTATGTATATGTGACGATGAGTTTGATTTCGAACAAAAGGGGTAAATGTTTTATCATTTGTAATATATCAAATATCATCGTTGTCAGTACTTTGCCTCCTTTTGAACTTATTTCTATAATAGCTTTTAGTAATAAAAAGGCAGGTATTAATCATAAACATAATCAAGAAAATGAACTTGACCCTTTAGAGTGCATCTTCTCTAACATGAACTCCAACAACCACATGTTCCACCGAGGGAAACCAGGCTAAAGCTCATGAACAATAACCACCATCAAATGAACAACATCCAAAAAGAATTAAAGGCTATAACTCTAAAAAAAATAAAAAATCTCTAACTGTTAATGGCTCAAGCATAAAATAGAGTTCGCAAACCAGTTAAAAAAAGTATATGAGTTAATTGATGGGTACCAAAATATAATTTTCAAAAAAGAAAATTGTCTTATTTGTACAAATAAAGTCATTTTAAAAATTTCAGATAGTTCACAACACTTAATACCAAATTATAGTAAGTTTATCTCTAAACATAATCAAATACTCTAAAAGAGTAAAAATTTCAAAGAGCGTGATAATATCGCTCGGCAAAAAAACATATCTAAATTACTATAGGAGATATTGGTAACAACGTTTGCCTTAAAATAGCATAACAGTGGATGCATTAGAAAATGTAGTTCCCTAAATTGATTGAAGAACGTCATCAACGTCCAACTCTTGCTCATAGTGTTGCAGTATAGATGGCAAATACATTTTTTTATCGTCTTTACAAGAGACAGATTGTGTTTTAAATATTGTTCATTAATATTATTTTAAGTTTAGTAGCAATCAAAAGGTTTTGATTCAATTTTTGATCTAAGTTCTTTCCGATTGAAGTCCTTGTAGATATACTCTGCTGCTTCACCTTCACTATTCATTCTTTAATCTTGCTACGACACAATTACTTGTGTGATCTTTGTCAGTTATTCTCGTATACTTTGAGCACGAAAAGAATTCAAAATTGTTGTGAAAGGCTACAATTTCTCGTAATCATCTAGTTACTAATTAGTCAATATTGACTTATTATAGCCTTGAATACATACTATTTTACATTTGCAATTGTCGGAAAAATCATCTAACACTACGAGAAATACAAGAATTATCTGCGGATTTTCCTGTGGAAATAAATCCGCAGATGTACCTGTGATTTTACCAGCAAATTTATATTGTGAAGCACTATTTCTTACAAAAATTGAGATAACAGCAAATTTCGCAGAAATTCTTTAGACTTTACCTGCGATTTTGGATTTATAATACCGGCTAAATTAATTACCCACGAAGGTTTTAACTGGAAACAGAAAATAGCAGGAAGAATAAGTTTTTCTAGTAGTGTAAATTATGGTTTGGTGAACATGAATATATCTATTCAAAACATTATCTTCATGATTTGGAGGTGTTATTTTTGCTAGATGTTGTTCCTGTTCCAGTTTGTTGGTGCCTGCATCATTTCGGATCTACAAGGACATGTTCAAGGCATGGCTATTGGTGTTTTAAATTTTTATTTGAAGCTCCATGGTTGTTGATTTTGAATGATACTTCACATATTGATTTGAAAATATTATTTACCAATTACTGATTCTTTGGAGCTTGACTAAATGGAAATACATTCATTTCTGATACTTGTTTACATAAATTTTAAAGTGCAATTAACAAGTAGAGCGATTCTTTATTTCACATATTTGGTTTAGCCTTGGAAACAATATTTATAAGATAAGTTTGTAAATAGTTTTAAGTGCACTCATGGCTTGATTTCATTTTTTCAAAGACACACAGTTGGTGGTTTAATGGATTGTATGCCTACCAGATTTTTTATTTGGCTTATGGATTTGAATTAGAAAGGTTATCCGTTACAATGGGCTAAAGGATTTTAACCAATTCATTTAGCTATTTCAACATGTTTTTATTTTATTGGATTTGGTTGATAGCTAATGATGATGGTTGCACATCAGTTAATTCCTCCACAAAATTAAAGATTGAAGACATTGCTTTTGGTTGGAACTCTTTGATGGTTGGGTATTGTAGTTACTGCCAATGTATTTTTGGTCTCTTTTTTTTTGTATTTTTTTTGATTTGATGTATTTTGGGTTTGTTGATCCCAAGTTAGAAGTGTTGTGAACATCTTCCAGTTTACCGGGTTATTGGAGATGATAATAATTGATGTTTTGTATATGTCGCGATGTGAAAAATATCTTACAAGTTAGCGTTCGAATTACAATAAAATCACCACCGAAGGTTATTTTTAAGAGAGAAAATGTCGATAAAACCCTAAAAAAATTAAAAATATAGTCATTGTAGCTAAATTCAGATTCGAAAGTCAATTATACAAAATAGTATTAACACTCCGCAACATTTGTTGTTACAAATGGAAACCACTTAATTTGTTTTGAGCGTAAGAGTGTTAATCTAAGGTATTTGTGATTTCTTTTAATTATTATGACATATTTAAAAAAAGAAATAAAAGTATACTTTTAGGAAGAAGACAAGTGTTTGAAAGACAAATTATACAACTTATATCCAAATGCTCAAGGATCAATAGGATATACGTCTAATTGATTATGTTTCATTCAATTTTGTTTAAAAAAAATTTAAAGATCGTTATTAGTATGCGGAAGACGAATGCTCGAATTAGAATGAGGCGCACAGTTCGTGATCAATTATTAGGGGAATAAAAGGGTGCATACTCAATTATTAATTTTTCAACCATTTTTTTATGAAAGTCAAAATACTTTAAATGCAAATTAAAAATAGGTTAAAAAGTAAATAAAATAAAAGAATAATTTTTTATTATTTTTATATTTAATCTTTTTTACGACAGTTCAGCAAAACATGATAGTCACCACTTTGGTAATAATCGAAACCATCACTACACCCAAATTTTCTATTTTTATTTTTTAAATCTCTACCGATTCAAAACCGTGAGGGTCGTCACAATGTTGACAGTCCAAACCGTCACTATGCCAAAAAATTGTTTTTGTTGTTTTTTGCTCAAACAACAACTAACTTTCACTCTCTCTCTCAATTTTATTCATTAACACAACAACATAGATGCATTACATGAATATGGATCGTAAACTAATCCTAAATTGAATTAGAAGCATTAAAATTACATTACATGAATATTACAAAATTTTACAAAACATAGACATCTACATAAAGTTACAGCATTACAACATGTTTGTTGTACATGCTAAGCCTTAAATGATAATAAAATAAATACTTTCAAACTCCAATCTTGCTAGTGTATGAAGAGGAGTTATGGTCTTAAGTGAATGTAGTTGTGTGAATGGGGTTGTTGTAGTGAGGAAGTTGATGAATAGTGTTGTGATGGTGTTTGGGTAGTGCTGTGTAGGTGTTTTTTATGGTTTTTTGGGGTTGTGTTCAAGTTTTCTAGGCCTTACTTTTTGCAAGTTTCTCTACTTCTCCAAAACTCACTCTCTAGTCTCTTTCTTTTTCAAGAGCTAAACTTCTCGATTTATAAGAAAATTTTGAAGTCTTTTACAAATGGATCAAATGTTTGCATGGTTATTTTAGAGCTTAGGTTGTATGAAGGTGGTGAATAGGGACACCCTTTACCATATCCATGGCAAAAAAAGTGGGAAAGAATGGTTTTTTCATAAAGAAAAGTAGGATGTGAAAAGAAAAGTGGTGCAAAGGTGATGAATGAATAGTACTATCATTAAATTAATATCATTTTTGAAATTTGGTTTATTTATTTATTCTGAGTTTTTTAGTTATGTATTTTTTTAATGAAAAATAAGCTTTTTGATGCAAATGGACCTAATGCGAATGAGCTAGATAAAATGTAAAATGATTAAATGCACTTCCTCCTTTTGTGTGTGAGATAATAGTAATTTCTTCCTTTGCAAAAAATAAATGATACTACTATTAAAGTTTTTATATTTTTTAGTCATGAGGAATTTCAAGAATCACTACAAGAAATTCATGATTAAATCAATTTGTAGCTAATTTCTATCAAACCGAGTTAACTGTAGATTAGTTGTGGATTAACTTCAATATATATCATAACATGAATTCACTTGGTTATTATATAGACGAAAATTTTGTAACAAGATTCCAACTAATATCTTAAAATTCAAATAAAATAAAACCTAAAATGTAGTAAGATATCACTATTGAGTTTATGTTTTATAGTTATATATCTATAATATATTTAAACATTGTAATACCCCAATTTTTTAATAATATATTTATTCATTAAAGGATGAAACTTAATATCTAAAGTGAAAATTAGAAGGGTAAATCAAGGTTCTAATCCATCTTAATAAAGACTAGATGAGGATAACATGATTGAGTAATTAGACTTTTGCACCGAGGGCATTCTAGTATGTTTCCCATGGACACTATATGAGCTTAAAGGATGAGAATTATCTCATTTTTTCTTCTCACTTCTCTCAGTTAGAATCTGGAAAAAAATTGTAAGAGAAGAGAGCTAGTGTGTGAGGGAGAGTTGAGCTTGAAAAGAAAAGGAGAGAGAAGTCTTAAATCAACATCACTTCCATCCTTGCATGTATGATAATTTAAGAATTTCTTGAATGAATAAGTATCAAGCAACCAAGATCATCACCATCATCTTCATTATCTTCAATTATGGTTCTAAATTAACATTACTACAAAAATGACTTTTGGCAGCGAATAAAAAGACAGCGCTTTATGAAAAAGCGCTGTTAAAGAGTCATGAAAAAAAAAGAAAAAAAAAATAGCATACCTTAGACAACGCTTTAAAAAAAACGCTGTTAAAAGTAGGCTCTAAGAAAGCGCTTTATAAAAAGCGCTGCTAAAAATATGCCCTAAGAAACCGCTTTTTTAAAGCGCTGCTATAGGTGTAACCTACGAGAG